ATAAATTGAACTAAATCCACCTTCAGTTAATTTTGTTATATCTTCAAATTGCTCAAAAGGTATCCATTCTAAAATATAGCCTGGCAAAGATGATTTCATTTGGCATTGTTTAATAAAGTTATCAACTATGCCATTCCCAGATGTCCAATTATCAAAAAGACTCTGTAATTGTAAACCAATACAACCTTCACAGAATCTATCAGAATACTTTGTCAATTTACACTTGTTGCACTTTTTTGGATTGCCCAATTTATTTTTTGCACTTTCTAATTCAAATTGATAAATAAACTTTTCTTTACAAAAATCTTTTTCTTCTTTAGAAAGCCTCTCATTTTTCTTGACTAATGAAAAAAAATAATCTTTTTGACTTTCTCTATCAGAATTACCCAGAGAATCATCATACATTTCATTATCAATTTTATATACAAAAACCTTTCTTTCTTGTGATAATGATGATAATAATTTATTATATGACATTTTTTAACTTTACTAATAAAATTATTTCGGGAAAGGATAAAACCTGATTTTTCTTTTTTGAACAAATAAATAATACACAAATGAGATTGAACCGGAGTAAAAATTATAGGAGTTAGTACATGAGTTTTGCACCGAGTTCCAAAAACTTTTAATGGGAATCACTTGTTTGTCTATAATTGCGGCCATCAACCCTTGGGGACCAACTTGTTTATTAAGTAACATGAATTATCTACTATCATTACCCTGATAATGAAATGGGATTCCTGTTCGTAATAATGATCGCCTTGTGGCTTTGTACTTAATTAAATATAATTTCCTAAGTGTTATAATTGTTTGTGAATATATTCTTAAGGTCCGATTTATATGTAAAGTAAAAAAAAAAGCACATGTCACTATCAGCGTCCACAAAGAACAAAATATATATTATTTTACATATGACATTATATATTTTTTAATCATTTACATAACGAATTAGTCCCTTTACAATGTATATATTGCAATTTGCAGACGCCCCAACTTTAGCTTCTTCGTAAGAAACAAATTTTTATATACATAATACATAGATATTCATTGGTAGTAATAGTATGATAAAAAAGCGTACAACCAAACGCTTAAAATTCAAATTAACAAAGTATCAAAAATAAAAATTCAAATTTCTTTTGGCCCAGCACGTCCAATTCGAAGATTCTCCAAAGCAAGTGCTATACAAAATGCCTTACCGTTCACCGAAGTAACTGCCCTACAAAATACCCTACAATATTTCAAAGTAATTTTACCAAAGAAACCACCCTACAAAATACCTACCGTCCTCCAAAGTAACTGCCCTTACCAAATGCCCTACCGTATGCCCTACCGTTATCCTACAATGGCAAAATAAAAAAAATTCATTATTTTGAAAACTTGTAAAGTAATCATTTTTTTCTATATAATTTATGTATCTGCTACTATCTACTAAACCATGTCGCGTGAACGAGGTAAATGAATTTAAAAAAGTTGACAAGAAATAATAATAAAGAAAGAAAGAAGCAATTTTATATATTAATATTCATTTTCCTAGCCGGCAGATGCTATAAGCTTTGCAATCCATTGCTAAATTTATATAATGACTTTGTTAACGCATTTTTTTGAAAATAAACACATTTGATAGTGATTATTATTGATCTAACTCCTGTTGTTGTTGATTGGTATACTATTATCATGATAACTAGACAATAGAAATTGGTATTTCTAATTATGATTATTTTCATTGTTGTTGAAGTATCCAAGAAGTCCAAAAGTAGCTTCGGTTGTTGTGATGGTTGGTATTCTTGTACTTTTTGTATTTGTAACAAATAATTTTTTTAAATTTAAAATTTGGAAAGTAAGTTTTAGCCAAACATTGGTTACATTTTATTATCTATTATTATTGAATACATATTTATACATGTTTATAAAACATTTGTATAAATTGATTGATATGCGGAAATAAAGGTAAGAGTGTGTGAGAGAGAGAAGAGTCGACTTACAATTAAAGATTGATACAAAAATTAAAAGATTAAATAATAGTTGAAAATTTAGATTCGTACAAATCGCGACAGGGATTATTAATTTTAATTATACTGGTCAATCAATATATATAAAATGTATTATTCACGTTAGAGTTCACCAAACTTTCTTTTTTTTCTTTTTCAAACCATCAGTAACTTTTTGTGCAGCAAGTTTTAATTCCTGACGTCTTTGCATCTCCTGTCGATGTGTTTCATCAAATTCCTATGGAATGAACGTACATTTATGTAACAGTAGTATAATTAGTTAGAATGAAAAAGGATACCTTGTTATTAGTATAAAATTCATCATCATTTTGATCAGACGATTGAGTAGATATAGTTTTATCTTTTTGTGGTGACAATGATTTTTTTGTTGAAGTATTACTATTGAGTGCCGAGTTATTGGAATCTATCGGTTGCCATGAAGTTAAATCTTCTTGAGTTAACGGCAAACAATCGTCGTCACATGAACTTGGAGTGTTTGGAGGTGGGGGG